TGCCACTTCGGATCTAAGGCTTCCAGACTCCACGCTTAGTTTTTCTCACAGATCATCTCTTCATGGCAGAGAGATTGGCAGAGAGAGTCTTTCTGCTTGGTTTGGCCCCATTTTTATCGATGGCTTTAGGACGCAGTCACAGAGTGTACGTGGAGGAAGGATGGGACGTTGTGGGGACAACGCCACCTTCCTGCCTTGGCTCTCTTTAACTCCATCCTTCCCAGAGGCCCCCCACCCCAGTGCGTCTTGTTTGTAATATTAATCTAATCATGTGATCACCCCTGCTCCACCCCTGCAAGTGGTGCCTAAGTCCCTTCGCCTGTCATTCCCGGCCATTCACAAACTGCCCTTCCTACCTTCCCACTTTTCTACTCGTGTTTTGTATTTCCCTCCCTTTGGGTAGTCTTTTCCCTTCCTTTAAGCCTGACGAACACCTATTCGACCTTCAAAGCCCAGCTCAAATGGCCCCTCATCACGGATCTCTTCTCTGGCTGACGTCGCTCATCCATTCTAGACCTACAGTATCTTCTTGCAATTCTTGTAGAAATGATCAGGGAGAGTAAGGTCAACTACAGGCGAAAATACTCCTTGGCTCTGACCTTGGGGAGGGCAGGAGGCCTTGTTCATCCTTGCCTCCTGGGGTCACCCCAGCTCCGAGCACGCACTAGGCCTTCGGTAAATATCTGCACGGTGAAGCTTTCTGCTGAGACCTGTCCGTTCACTCATCCAGTGGCATTCATGGATCCCCACGGACCTGTGAAAATGCCGAAAGATAGCGAGGGGCCCGGATCATAAGATTCGAACTCTGGCAACCAGAGTGTCTGTCGTTCAGAACGGAGGGTGCTTGAAGAAAGCGTGGCCGTGCTGGGATGCGGTCTACGGTGGTGTGCTCGGCACCTGGCAGACTGTGTAGCCAGGTTCTCAGCCCGCAGACAGTGTCACCTGACAAGGAAGACCTGGGGGACTCCAGAAGCAGGCCTTGAAAATTAGGAGGAGGTGAGGTGTTCTCCCACCCACTGTCCAACAGGTCACGGAGGGTCCCAGCTGGGCACAGGTGAGGAGGGGAGGGCTGTGACCTTACCACCGCGCACCTGCAGAGCCGTGCCCTGTCCCACACGGTCCCGGAGAGCCCCGAAGCACAGGGTGAGTCAGGAAAGGGCAAGTAACAACTTGGAAAAGGGGGGCCTCTGCCTTCGAGGTAACGAACGTGCTGCCGGGTCGTCGGGAGAGTCGTGATGCATTTTTGCACAGACCTCTACATCATGGCTTGCCCACCGACCCATAGAAAGGGAGCCAGGTGGCCCTGCCGCGAACTTGCACACACCTGTGCTTCCCGTGTGCTGATTCTCACAGGAGAGAAAAGTGACAGGGCAACAAGCCGGCGTTGGAGTTCAGACCCCCAGACCGTTCTCCGAGCTTTTTTTTTTCCCCTGCCAGACTTTATTACAGACAAATTCTTTTTTAATTAGCCATATACAAAACGGACCACTCCCAGCTTCTGGCTGGCCCAGGGTGGTGAACGAGGCCCCTTGCAGTTGGCATAAAGAAAGCACAAAGGGGACCAGCAGTTGGCATAATGGCTATGTCGCTGGACTCCCACGTAGTCGACCGCGGTTCGAGTCCTGGACCCGGTGGCTTAAACTCACGCTGGGTGCGTGTGCGTGCGTGCCCAAGATCCCGAGAGGAGAATGGAGGAGAAGAGATTGCATCTCTGTCTTTCTGGTGCCCTATAGCAAACACCTCTCCAAAAAAAGAAAAAAAAAAAAAAGGCAAGCACAAAGCAGGCCAGTAGGTGGCGTGGTGATTAAGGCGGCTGGATCCCACATACTGACCGGGCAGTTGGAGTCCCAGACCCGGCAGCTGGGCGCATGTGCAATGTGTGCCCAAAGTCCCAAGAGGAGAGTGGAAGAGAAGGGATGGTGGCCTGGCCATATCCCTGGGGAATGATTTCTCACTTCTCCTCGCTCTCTTTCTAGCCTTCTCTGGCAAGTTCACATGCCCTATGGCAAAGCGTTAGACACACACACACACACACACACACACAGAGCGGAAAGACATGACATTTTTCTTAGCGAATATTTCCCACGAGGACTCAGGAGATGAACGCCAATGGATTTGTGGAAAGGCTGAAAGACACCGGGCAACCCGAATCACAAGCTGTCTATGCGTGGTAGCTATTGTTGCTGTTACTATTACTGGGAGGGCCTTCTGGGAGCCACGGGTGCCAGGTGGAGAACCACTGACTCATTGCAGATGGTGACAATGACCACAACGGTAACGGCTGCTGTCTCCTAAGCCCTACGTGAGCTGGCCGTTGTTTGGGCATGCTTTACATGCATGGCCTCATTTTTTTCTTTTTTTTAGAAAGAGATTTTTGCCATATGGCACATGTGTTCGCCAGAGAGATAGAGAGAGAAAGAGAGAAATCACCCCTCCAGAGGGGATGGCCACGTCCGATCCCTTCCCCGCCATTCTCCTCTTGGAGAAGAGACGCACACACTTGTGTGTGCCCAGTGTGAGTTTCAAGCTGCCGGATCCAAGACTCGAACCATAGTCAGCCATATGAGAGTCCAGTGCCTTAATCACTACACTATCTGCTGGCCCGACGTGACCTCAGTGAATCATCTCATTTAAACCCTGTGAGGGGGTACGGTTATGATGCCCTCATTTTACAGATGACCCTCAGAAGGCGAAGTGACTCTCGCAGTCCCAGAGCCCGGGTCTGTCTGACTCAGCACCAGGGCGACTTCGCTGCTAGGCAAATCGAAGCACCTCCTCACTCCTGGATTCTCGAAGAAGCATCAGTTCTATGCATTCCCGGTTTAAGCTGTTCATTTCCATGTATATCACGTGTCCTAAGAGGAAACCCCCACATAGGGTCACGTGGCTCCTCCTGGCGATGTTACAGGCCATTGGTAAATCTGAGGACACGTTCTCGCACCTACGGTTTCCTCGTGGTCCTTCAGAGCGGCCACCCCCTCGGGGTCCTCAGGACGGGGCACGAGAGGGTGCTCAGTACACTCGTGGAGAACATGTGGGCTGAGCTTCCTGGTGGACCCGTGGGGTTGTTGGAGATATAAGATTATAGCAGGAGCCCATCCCCAGGCTGATGGAAACAGGAAAGAGGAATTTATTTTATGACTGTGAGAACCTTCTGTAAAGTCCAAGAGCGAGACCATGGCCATCTTAAGAGAGCCCGGAAACTGCACACGGGAACGCCTTGGAGGCGCCCTGGCCATCTTGTGATCACTGGGTTCCTTCCTCCTCATCAGACCCACTCTCTGCCACACTGAGGACAAGACGGCAGAGGACGGCAGCCTCCGAGGTCTCAAGTCACTGACGGGGCTTCCCATGCCAAGTTCCCAGGGCAGAAGCTCTGATTGGCTAGCTTGGGTCAGGTGATCAGCCCTGGTCCTAGCAATTAGATCATTTGGAAAAAACAAGGCAACCAGAGCCCACAAGGGTAGTTGGTGGGGACAGTTAAGGACATCATTGTCATGACAGTTCATGGCTGCCCACTCCCTAAAGGGGTTCACGTGCATTTGCTAGAAAGACAGAGAGAGACAGAAAGCGAGAAATCACCCCCCTGGGTCATGGCCATGCCACAGTCCCTTCTCCTCTATTCTCCTCTCGGGATCTTGGGCACGCACACACATGCACCCAGCGTGAGTTTAAGCCACCGGGTCCGGGACTCGAACCACGGTCGACTACATGGGAGTCCAGTGTCATAGCCATTACGCCAACTGCTGGTCCCCCAGAGTCAAACCCTTCAGCCCTGAATTCCTGGTTCTCCTGATTACGCTTTCTGCTGCCTGTCATAAGCCTCCCTGGTAGACCACAGAATCGGCTCCCTCCAACCTCCTGCCATCTTGAGGATGGAGGCGGCCACCAGCCTGTGTCCAGAGGGCTCTCTGACGTTGCCGTGCCCAGCCCAGGACCTCATGGGTATCCAGGACCAGCCCGAAGGCCGTGGAGAAGCTCACACTGAACGGCCCAGATGCAGGGGTGGCATAAAGTTTGGATTGTCCGAAGGTGGTCTGGTTCTCGGGGACCTCTCAGAGGAGCCGATGGTACTTGGTAACGGGCTGCATGTGTGGGACCGGAGGGCAAGGGCACCCCTGTGCTGTCTGGGTGCTGGGGCGCCGGCAGGGCAGAGCTGAGGGCGGAGGCCGTGTGGGGAAGGGGCCAGACCCACGCCACGCGTTGCTTTGGCTCAGCTCCTCCATCGGAGAATCCACAGACCAGCGCTTCACATGTTCCATGTGCCCTGAGGGTTCCATACATGTACTTGGTGTGCTTTTATCCGTGTAAACAACTTCGGTAGGACATTGTAGAAATAAAAAGTGCAAAAAAGCAAAAAGCCCTCATCAACGAGTCACCGTTAACATCTTCAGGTTTATCTTGCTAATGTTTTTCTTTGTTTTTTTTGTTTGTTTGTTTGTTTGGTTTTTGGTTTTTGGGGTTTTTTTTGTTCGTTTGTTTGGGTTCGTTGTTGTTTTTTTAATAATTTTGGAAGGGGATGAGGCCGCAAAAATAGGATTATTGAAGTGTTTCAAAGCCTACCTTTCTCACTCCAAAAAACCAAAATGAAAAAAAGAGGTGTTCTTCCCCATGTTCGTAGCTGGTCTTCTCTGACATTCCTGCAAGTTTGGAGGGAGGGCAGAGAACAAAACCAGCTGCACGCAGCGGCTCCCTGCGGGGCCCTGGGCACTGCAGTCCTGCTGTGGGTTTCTCTTTCCTTCTGATAAAGTTATGGAATGTCTTCCTCACCCTGCCTTCATGCCACCCCTGAGCTGTCCCAAGGGCCCCACGCCTGCATGTTCCAGCCCCCGTGGGCCAGAGCCACACTGCATGGACTCGCTGTGCTCACCCTGGCCGGGATGCACACGTGCACAGCCCGGACACCTGGCAGGCTTCCTGCACCCCTGCTGCCTGTCCCAGAGCCGCCCTCAGCCCTGCCCGCAGCTCACTGTCCCCCCTCTCTCCTCTCTGCTTTGCAGGCTCTGGTCGGGAGGTTGCAGAGGGAGCCCTTTGGAGCTGACCCACCACAGAAATTCACCAGGTAACGTTGACAGCCGCCATGAGAACCGCCGTGCACAGAATTCTCACTCTCACCCCAGCAGGGGAAAAGCACCCAGTGGTCCTGAAAGCCCATTCTTGCTGTAACGGGGAGCCAGAGAGGATCGCCGTCATTTTATAGATGGACTCGGAGCTAGCGGGACAGTACTTAACAGCAGTACTGAGTGGTGGGACTCAGCTGCGAAAGGCAGGGAAGACCTGAGCCTGGCCAGGCTGTCTCACACCCTGTCCTCTCCCCCGTGCCGTGTATCGAACTCAGACTGTCAGACCAACAGTTTGGGGTGACCGAGGGCTGAGAGATTTCGCTAAGCGTTGATCCTTTCTATGCGGAGGCTCAGTGCTTGGCTGCAAGGATATGAATCTTCTTTTGCAAAGTGTGTGAAAAGTAGACTCAGGTCTAAGGAAGCTGTATCCCACACGGCTGACTTCATGGTTCGAGTCCTGGACCTGACGGCTTGAAAAACATGCCAGGCGTGAGTGCACGTGTGCCCAAATTCACACAGGGCGAATGGAGGAGAAGGGACTGTGGCATGGCCATCTCCTCTGAGGGCATCTCCCCCATTATCTCTCTGTCTCTCTCCAGTGAGTGCAAGTACCACCTACACCAAACAAATGCATGAAAAATACAAAATCAAGGTTTCCTGGGGACCAGCAGTTGGCGTAATGGCTATGTTGCTGGACTCCCATGGAGTCGACCGCAGTTCGAGTCCCGACCCAGCAGCTTAAACTCATGCCGGGCCCATGTGCGTGCGTACCCAAGATCCCGAGAGGAGAATGGAGGAGAAGGGATTGCAGCGTGACCATCCCCCCTGGGGGGTGATTTCTCACTTTCTGTCTCTCTGTCTCTCTCTGTCTGTCTGGCGAACCCACACGCCCTATAGCAAAAACCTTCTAAAAAAGAATCAAGGCTCCCAGCAACCCGGGAAGGAATGGGGGAAGGAATGCACTATTGTCTTCATTTTGAAGGAGGGAGAGTAAGGCACGGGGAGGATGACATTTACTCAAAGCCGCACAGCTCCAAAGTAGTACAGTCGGGACTAGCAGCTGGTGTCATGGATTCCCATGCCATCCACTATGGTTTCTGTCCCAAACCCAGCAGCCTAAAGCTCATGCAGGGCGCTGGACCCGCACATAGTCGACCTCAGTTCGAGTCCCAGACCAGTGGCTTAAAACTCACACCAGGCATGTGCACGTGCCCTATAGCAAAAACCTCTCCAAAAAAAAGAAAACGTGGAGACTTCCTTTCCGGGCCCTCCCCTGTCTACCTGTAAGTGGGTCTGACTCCTGTCTCACTGATTGCCTCCTTGGTGGCAAAGGCGAGGAGGATTTTGTCATTAGACATTTAGTATTTCTGTTCTTTTTTTTTTTTTAAAGAATTATTTTTATGGGAACCAGCAGTTAGCGTAATGGCTATGCTGGGAGGGTGTGAGTGATGTGCCCTAAATACCAAGAGGAGAATGGAGAAGGGATTGCGGCGTGGCCGTCCTCCCTGGGGGGTGATTTCTCGCTTTCTGTCTCTCTGTCTCTCTCTGTCTGTCTGGCGAGCGCACGCGCCCTATAGCAAAAACCTCTCCAAAAAAAAAAAAAAGAATTATTTTATCTGACTTTATTTATTTTAATTTTACTAGAGAGAGACAGAGGGAGAGAAAGATGGAAAGTGTGAAAGCCAGCCGCCAGGTCTGGGACTCGAACCACGGTTGCCCATGTAGGAGTCCAGCGCCCTTAACCACCACGCCACCTGCTGCCCCCAGTAGGTCTGTTCTGAAACGTGGTCACTTCTGATGTCTCCTCTGCCAGGACACAGATGCCAGCACCAAAGGGAGTCCAGGAGACGCGGGCAGCTGCACCCTCTGTCTTGAAAACAAAAGGTGTCTCTTTCCTGCAGAAGCAGGGGCTGCCGGGAGAGAGGACTCCTAGGGGCCCCCGTGCTTGTCTGTGGGCCCTTTGTGCTATGTCGGGGGCAGGGCAACTGTAAGATCACCCCACTCCTGTCCTCCTAGGGTGACCCCAAGCCGCAAAGCTGCTGTCCACGTGGACCGGGGCTGACAGCGCACGTCCACCTGCCAGGACCCCTGCGTCCAAGCTGCGAGACATGGCGACCAACGGCAGCAAGGTGGCCGACGGGCAGATCTCCACGGAGGTCAGCGAGGCCCCGGTGGCCAACGACAAGCCCAAAACCCTGGTGGTCAAGGTGCAGAAGAAGGCGGCCGACCTTCCCGATCGGGACACATGGAAGGGCCGCTTCGACTTCCTCATGTCCTGTGTGGGCTACGCCATCGGCCTGGGCAACGTCTGGAGGTTCCCCTACCTGTGCGGGAAAAATGGCGGCGGTAGGTGCTGGACGGTGATCCCGGGCTGGGTCAGGAGCCCCCCACACCCCAGCAGTGGCCCATAAAGGTCTTTGCTGGAGCAACCTTAAGGGAGAGGGCACCCTGAAGTCTCCCTTCCTGAAGACTCCCAAGGGAGTCCCAGGACCGTTTCTTGCTTCTTTTCCTTTGAATGAGGACTCCCAAAGGAAACTGTCCCCTGCGAAGGGTACTCAAAACCACAATGACCATCGAGCTCATCTAATTATAACCCAGCTCTTCATTTTGCAAGAATGGGGATGCACCATGGCCAAGGCTACCCCGGGTCTCTCTTGGCTTCGGGTGCTGCTCTGGGCAGGGCCTAGGGAAACCCTGGGGGAGAACCCCAGTGCATGGGCAGGGGCTCCTCCAAACTTAGGCTACAGACATCTGCCTTCTCCACCCCGCAGGGGCCTTCCTGATCCCCTACTTCCTGACGCTCATCTTCGCGGGGGTCCCGCTCTTC